TTAAATCGATGGACCTCTATTTAATTTAAAAGAAAATGGTCATTGTATAGTTTAACGAGCTTCACTTCCAGCTTTCTCTTTGTTTTCCTGAATAATGCTCTTGTCCTCCTGAAGTTGAACAGAAAAAATAACGCTGCTCTTAAAACCGAGGGGAAGGAACACAGCCAAGGTGAAGGAGGGTGGGTTCATGTAGTGTGTTCTCCTGTCAGCCTTTGTAAGTAAATTTGAGAAAGGTGGTGGCACATTTATGCCTCTCTCTTGGGATTATGATGGTTTGATAAAGTGGATACTATGGGCACAAGATTGCAGTGTGCGTTCCTGGCATTCTTAATGAGAACTGAACCTGTTCCCGACTTACCTGTATTTAACGGAAATTACTTCAAGCCCAAAAAGTGCAATTGAATGGCCACATGTTCAGTTCTTAATTTCAGTCTAATTCTAATCTCTAGGAGCATAGAAAAATCCTGGGCTGGAAACTGTATTCCAAAATGTTTTCATTCTCAGGTTTATTACACAATAACAAGGACCAAAAATAAAGGAGTTATTTCATAGTTTCAAATTAAAGCTTTCCCACATCCAGGGCCAATGCTAGGAATTAATATTCACAGCAAACAACAGGGATGTTTTTTGAGAAAAGAAATTAAGCGCAAAGTATTTTCTTACTGTGTTTTTGCACACATTCTTAAAGAGACATCTGTGATCACAAAAACGTGAAGTAGATCAGTGTGAAAAAATGAGCAAAATATGAGGTTTTTGTTAGCATGAAAATGACTTCTAAGTTGAGAAGAAAATTCGTGCTTTCATAATTCTGAAAGAATGAGTAGTAGGAAATCATAAGTACTTCTGCTACTTTTCTAGGATAGATTAGGTCCTTATCCAGACTGAAACCAGGAATTACAGAAATTAGAAGGAAGACTGTGAAGAAGATCTGGATCTAAAATTAACATACATTTCTCACCCCCACCCCTCCAAGTCTCAGAAGACATTTGGTTGATGGTTGGTTCACATTATGCTTGGATCAGGCTATCGGCAACTGTTGAGACCAATTCTTGTTCTGTGCAAACAAGTTTGCCACTGTGTGCATTTTTGGTATTTGCTCTGTTTATTTCTTGAAAGGTGGTGCTTTTTCAAGCCCTTGCCTCTTTATTTTAGCATAGATTATTCTGATATTCTTGTGTGAATGCAACACATTCGATCTGGTCAGGAACTCAGAAGTAATGATAAAGTTAGAGAAACGGTTGCTCATGCATTCTAGGAATTTCTTTAGTCAGAGGCTTTTTAGCACAGAAGGGGACAGGTATGTCCAGCAATGTGCAAAGAGGTAATTCCATTATATAATTCTGATTAATTCAAATTAGAAACCAAAGGCAACCGAAGGAAGCCGCCCCTGTAATGTTGTGCTCCCCAGATGCCTTCCAGGCGCACACGTAAAGGGGCCAGGCTGCTCAGAGGGAGATGATGGGGCCAGAGTTTCAGTAGCAGTTCACTTGAATTCTGCCACAACAAAGTGGCAAAAACTCCTACACGTCTACGAATTCTCATAGGAAAGACAAATGTTCTGCTTTTTTCCTAAACAATCTTTTAAACTGTTTTAACCTTCTGTGTTTCTGCCTGGAGTTTACCATAGAGTTCCTGTACCCACTTTGTAATTTCTGCATGAACTGTGGTATTTGTTGTGAATACCTTATCGCTTAACTTTTCCATCTTCTGTCTATTCTCTATCAATTTAATTTTCACCTTCTGATAGGGTATGCTGTTATGTCTTGACCTGCTAATTTAAAACTCTTCCTTCTCATCCTTCAGGCTGCTGTCATGTCCCTTTATAAGCTCCTTTTTCGTAACCTAAGGCCTTTGGCTCTTAAAGCTATCACTGTAAAACTGGGCTTCCAACTCTCGAATCATTCTCACACCTCTTCCGTGAATCCTGCCAAATTTTCAACTTTATTTCAGTGAAGTGAGATTTACTTTTGTCATATTTCTTTTTTTTCCAGTTGCTTTGATAGAAAATGTTTCCATAAACAGAGCAGAGCAAGCTGCACAGTTATGAAATCTTCAGATCTAATTTTATGAACTAAAATTTTAATTGTTCATCACCGCTCTCCGGCAGGTAGTGGGGCTTCACTGAATTCCACCGCTCAGCTTCTTGTGTCTGAATGATTTTTCCCGTTGTTAACTTTAGTTCATATATTATACATCTCATCCATAATTTATCATAAAGAGGGACCTTCTATTATTTATCACCTGCATGAGGACATGCATGTGCACACATGCATATATGGGATAGTTTCTTACATAAAACTAAAGATTAATGTATAAATATTTAACTGAGGTTATAATCTAAGCAAATATTGCTCCTCAAAGTTTTGGAAAATACTTTTTTCCAGCAACTCTTGATATGTACCACAGAGTACAGTCTGGTAAGGAACAGGTGATGCCTCTCCACAGAATATTATTTTAAATATGAGGAAGTATTAATGTAATTTAAAATTTTAACATCTTACTAAAGGTATGTTGTACTTCCAAGTTTTCCAATTTCTTCTTCAAAACTTACTGTCTTTTAAGAGCTAGTACTGGCATTAAACATAAGTCATTTTTTAACAAGAGACAGGATTTTTTTATAAGTAAGCACTGGAGACTATTTCAATTTTACACACTATGTGTTAGTACTGCAAGTACTAAGCTGGGACTAGAATACAGTGAGACAACCAGGACAGTCCTGAACAATCATACTGTGTTTCATTTAAGCCATGTCTGTTGTGCAGACAACTAGCTATCGAACAGACTTTAAAATATGCACTCCTCAGTCAGTCAGCCTTCCCATACACACTAAAACTCTGTGAGAATTTTGTCTAAATAAAGGGAGAGAAAAAACAGGGTCTTACAGAAAATATTTGTTATTCCTCACTGAAAAAATCTCAGTTTCTCAAGGCACAGCGTAGCAAGTGTTTACCAGTTAACTGTGGCAACTACTCCTTCAAAACACAGAATCACCATTTAACTGCACATCCCCAGACCTCGGGCAGCCTAAAATAGCAATCCTCCCTTCTCATATTAAAAGATCTATATGAACTTTAGCGACCAGAAATTATTGGGTGCCTCCTATTTCTGTCACCCAAGTATGGTGAATCGTGGTTAAACAAAGGTTTATTGTGCCACCGAAACTTGAGCGTTGCTGGTGCAGAAAAAGCAGCATCAGAGCTACAAGCTAATGCTGTGTTAAAGTCATGCATTTTAACATATTATGCCCCTTGAAAAAATATGTGCAGATTATGTTTGAAGTGGCATTAATCGCATAGCTTGTGTCTGAATGCTCAGGTGTTTGTAGCTTCTGTTGAAATGGGAAATTATTCTAGGATGAGTTAGCTAAAAAGTATCTCAGAAATAAAGTGAGAAAGGGTAGCTTTCCATTTAACTTTTGATTTTTAAGGCAGGAAGAAATTATTTAGTGAATAGCTGTTACCTTTGGTAACGGCACTTTCTTTCCCCATCCCCGGTGTTTTTGATGGCTGCATCTGTATAGTAGAATTTAAAAGTACTTTTTATGGACACCAGGCAGGCTTACAGTACAGAGTCCTAGCCACCCAAGTGAAATCAGATCTCTCCTTTGGCACCTATCATCTCATGGGTATACCCTGTAGACTACGCTACAGAAGAGCTAGCCAGGTAATAGGAAAAAAGTGTAGAAGAGTTTCAGCTTTAATGTCTCATTTTGAAAGATTAGGTCAAAGCAAGTCAACGTAACAGGTTGGTCACACAATCAGATCACATCCAACCATTTACAATTAATTATTCAAGCCTTGCTTTGTGCTCTTGTCAATTTGAACAGAAGAGCTGTCAGCTGTTGAGTCTCTATTGAAGACCAGCCTTAAATCGTTATTATTGAACTGCTCCTTACTAGACTCTGGGGCCAATGCTACTGTCAGAAAGAAAAAGAAATGAAACACGGTATATTGACTTTTGGATCTTTTGGATATTATTTATTTCTTTTTTCTCTTCTCTTCTGCGTTCTTTGCTCTGCAATGTGCTGTGCTTTGTACAGTGCACCCTTTGCTCCAGAAAGAACGTCAAGTCAACAAGGCTCAATTTACAGGGGTTGCATATCTGTTCCACCTTTTTAATGAAAATGATCTAGGGAGGGAGATGCTGTGTCTTGACTGTGGACATGGTGTAGAATGCTAATCCTGGGGTCAGTGATACAAACTCTTGGGGCTCTGCCTAGGAGGGTTGGAGTGAAGAAAAATTGGCCTTCTCCTGGGAGATAAAGACTATGAACTATGAAAGCAATAATGTTGACCCAAATAACAGTTACTCAAGAGATTGAACCAATGCAGAATTTGCTTAGAATAAATGCCACACAGCTGTCAGATTTTGCTAGATTAATTTTCTTTTTATAAGATTCATTTATGGCTGTTCACAACCCTAAGCTATTGGCTGCATAAAAGAGTGTACCCAGATTAAAGCTGAATATCAAGAAAAGAGAAGAAAAACAGTTTTAGTTCAGAACTTTTTCTTCATTACTTTTTTGCTGCCTGTTTTTGAAAAATAGGGGTAATTATTTTTAAATGTTCTTATCTAAGTGACACTAGGATTTTTTGAATGCTCACGTAAATTGTCAAGTCCCCAAAACTACACTATTTTTTCTCAGGAAAAAGAAGTACATTGAAGCAAATCGGGTGAATATCCTTACTTTAGATGAATTTGTCCAAAAAAGAGTACTTTTATGCCTTATGCATTTAAAGCACTGTGTACAGGGAGTCACATCTCTTTTCAGGCAACTGTCACGCACAAGTAAGAACAACAGACCACTGGTATGTGATTTTTAAATCCCTTTTAAGCCATGTTCTGATGGCGTAAGCGAGACACACACATATATATATATATATGAGATACACATGTTTCATAATGCTCCTCTACTTAAAGGTGTATTTTATCCCCATGTGCTAATCCTTTAAAGACAAATTCTGTGTGTACAGTTGCCTGACGTTGTTCTGCGTCTGCAGTTGTGCAAGAGGTCATGGATGTGTCTGACTTGCGCTGTGTACGCTACAACAGTTGCACTGCACCGGTCATCGGTCCAAAGTACTCACTTCAGATTCTGCGCATCTTGGATGGACTGAACGTGCTGTACATGGGTAGGCATTTCTGTCAGGTCAATCCTGTTTAGGCAACTTTATGCTGCTTGCATTTTCTGGGAATGCAAGAAATGTCAATTATATAGATCTTCATGTATAAATGTTATTAGCGTGGTCAAGGCCATCTCAGCTAATGTCATATTATGCTGACAAGCAAGGTCACTCTGACTCAAAATGTTCTTTAATGGCCTGTGTTGACAAAGAAAGAGAGAATGACTGCTCAGGAAGACTGCTTAGGGTCCGGGCAATGCTGATCTCTGTCTGCTTTGACATTTTTCTTTCGTTGGGTTTTTTTTAATCTAATGCTGTTCTCCTTCTTTTAGAAGTGGAAAAAATAATTTCTGAGACTTTCAGACAAATTCTAGTATTTAGAATATGAGTTTGCAGTAGTTTTTTCTAAAACACCTCTGTTTTCTTAACACTCATCATTTAAAAGATACAAAAAACACCTCATAGTGGCTCGCATTGCTTAATAAATGGTGCAATGCAACCCTAAACCAGGGCTGTAAACATTAACAAAATAGATGCTTTTCATCATTTGCAGACCTAATTCTGTCTTTAAGTAGAGGAAAAGCTCAGGAAAAGCAGAAGAATGCTTACAACAGGCTTGCCTGAAATATTAGTCTGACAAAAGGCTATATTTTAAAAACAATTTTTTCTGAAATCTTCATACAAAATGAGCAACAGTGCAAACAAAACAGGTACCGTGCACTTGTGAGCACTCTGACAGTTGAACTAGTAGAATAGTAGTAACATTTAGCTCATACATAAAGATTTCCGTATTCAAACTGTGTCCTTGTTTTGTACCTGCACAAAGGGTTGAATAGTATCTGGCAGATCTTCAGGCACAGCATGGAAAATAAAGAGTAGGAAAGGATGCTTTTAAATTCAAAGTCCAGGACCTGGATACAGGATTCCTAAGTCTGCCACAAACACACAAGATAATATTAGGCAAATCAATTAGCTTTACAGTGCCTCAATTTCCCAAGCAATTAAAAATAGGCAAATGATGAAAATTACCTAAGAAATGTATTTGGGCCTATTAGCATAACATTCCTGATATTTGGAAAGGCTCCCAAGCCATGGCGCTCTGAGCAGTTCAGAGAAGGCAATTAAAAAAACCTAACTTACAGTTATTCTAAAGGAATTACGCTTGTTGTACTCATAATGATTTTTTTTGTGCTGCCAATCTAAGAAAAGAAACAGTACAGAATCAAAGTAATCTTTATAAGATGGTCTGGAACTACACATCCTTCCTAGTTTTATCTCACATATATCTTTGAAATTAAGTTGGAATGAAATGCCCCATAATCTTGAGTTGATGCTCAGCATAAATCACACCGTGAATTTAATCCATGCTGAAAAGTTATATTTACTGAATGCTTTTTATTCCTAAAAAGTTAGTTTGCCAAAGATGTCAGCAAAGAGCCTACCTTGACAAAGTACAGAAAATAAAGAGCATGATTAGAATAGAATAGAATAGAACAGAACAGAATAGAATAGGCTATTTCAGTTGGAAAGGTGCTGCAATGCCCATCTGGTCCAACTGCCTGGCCAGTTCAGGGCTGACCAAAGGTTAAAGCATGTTATTAAGGGCGTTGTCCAAATGTCTCTTAACCACTGACAGGCTTGGGGTGCTGACCACCTCTCTAGGAAGCCTGTTCCAGGGTTTGACCACCTGCTTGGTAAAGAAATGCCTCCTAATGTCCAGTCCAAACCTCCTCTGATGCAGCTTTGATCCATTCCCACGCATTCTATCACTGGATCCCAGGAGCAGAGCTCAGCACCTCCCTCTCCACATCCCCTCCTCAGGAAGCTGTAGTAGACAGCGATGAGGTTGCCCCTCAACCTCCCTCTCCCCAAACCAGACAAGCCCAGAGTCCTCAGCCGCAGTGCCCCGAGCCGCTCCTCACAGGCCAGGCCTGCCAGCCCTGTCACCAAGCCTGGTTGCCCTCCTCTGGATGCATTTAAGGACCTTCACATCCTTCTGAAATGGTGGGCCCCAGAAATGCTGTATCTGCTTACAACATTGTAATGTAACACACATTCAAAGTGTTTCTGGTTACTGAAATGTTGTAAGAATTCTAAAACTTTGTAACCCACAAAAAGTGAGGTCTGCATGCATGATAAATCCCTGTATGATGATGCAATACAGTCTGGGATCGGATTCTCAGGCATGGCTTGCAGTTATTCCAATTTAAAATCAGTGTGTTTTGTGTTGGTTTTTTTTTTTTTTTTTTCCCCAGCAAAGTTGATTATATGTGTGACTTATCTTGTATGATACTCAGTTGCTATTTTTCTAGTATTCCTTTATGGGGTAATTTCATTGCATCAGGGTCCGCAGGAGATATTTTCTTCATTATGCAGTACAAAACAGTCTTTACCTATTTCTGCTCTTAGTACTGTCATCCTGATGTTTCATCTCTTCTGTTTAAAACACTGCTTCATCAATTGTGATGATGCTATGCTGTATAGGAACCCAATGAAGGTTCTGTACGTGTCTATACCGAGGAAAATGTGTATCAAGTCCTAAAAGATGGGACTAGCTTGTCAGGAGAGTATTTTTAAAACATGGTAAGTATATGAGTGGTACTCAGATCTGAAAGAAGTTAAAACCCCAAAATACATGAAATGGGGTTCTGTGCCTCACCTGCATTGTGCGAAACATAAACCAGTGACAGAAGTGGGCTCCCATTAAGTTCCATAACTGGGTATGTTCAGAGTGGAAATTACTGTGTATGATAGAGGACAAGTTTCTAGAGGAAAATTAGCATGTAGCTAATGGTAAGGGAAGTTTAAAAAATATTTTATTTCTTAAAGAGCTGTTGAAAGTGACTGCATAGACTTAACACTGATGCCTTCTTTGGAAAGGTAGAAATGTACGTCATTAATTGCTTTTTTCTTCCTCTTAAAAATTATTCACTGAACACTGGACTCTGTCCTCAAGGGACTGGCCAAGAGTCTCCAGAGGAAATGATTTAATTTAGCTCTAATTCCTAGTGGAGCTACCTCCTCCCACAGTTAATATTTTGAGTATTTTTTTTATCCAAAGGACAACATGGTTTAATTTTTCAAATTGATCAAGGAAGATAGTCATTAATTGCTTTTTTCTTCCTCTTAAAAATTATTCACTGAACACTGGACTCTGTCCTCAAGGGACTGGCCAAGAGTCTCCAGAGGAAATGATTTAATTTAGCTCTAATTCCTAGTGGAGCTACTTCCTCCCACAGTTAATATTTTGAATATTTATTTTTATCCAAAGGACAGCATGGTTTACTTTTTCAAATTGATCGAGGAAGATAGTATCTTCTTCCCAAGTCACTACCCTAAATGCAAAATTAACCTGTTTAGGTTTCCCTGATTTTGTACTCCAAATAAGTCATTAGTTGAAAATACTATGCTAGAACGTACCGCATGAGGCTTTGTCTGCTAGTTATCCCTTAAGTCAAAATTCTGAATGCTCAGATGTCTTGTGAATCTTTGAATAGATTTTTTCATGAAGGGAAGGGGGTACTGTTCTAAATTTCTCATAAAACTGTTCCTTCAGGTTGAGATGCTTCATTATGTTCACAGTTACCTGCAGAATAATTGTGGCTAAACATGCGGGCCCACAGAGCTGCAGCTGCTCTTGTTAATGTAGCATAATATTGATTATTTGCAGTTAGTCAAAATAATTGTGCTGGCGGTGGCACTTGTAATTCTGTGTATGTGAGGCTGTGATTTATTCTGATCATATTGGCTATAACAGTACATATTCTGCATAGACAATGACTTCGAAGCTATAAACTATTAAGGTGCACATTTGATGATGTTGACATAAACCAAATGCTGTTCAGGCCAGAGGAGATGGAGGTTCTCCCTTTACTTAACAAGCTTGTGTTTAAATTTACATGCAGATAGAAGGAGAGATGGGTTATGTTCCTTGACATTGTAAAGAGTAAAGCATAAGTTTATCTGTGCTAAGCCACTGGTCAGCTGCAGGCTATGTGTTTACTTGGGATGCACCAGCAAAAGCCTGAGAGAAGAAATTTTAATCCTCCAGACAGCTCCATATATCATGGGCAAAGCTGAATCCTCTTTAATCAGAGCCCCTAAAACTAGCTAGTGATTTAAAATTATCTGCTTTCTTTCTAGCTGAAAGAAGGAAAGCAGCTTCTACAGCAACGTGTGCAAGGACCCAAATCATCTAAAACTGCGGTATTAAAGCTTATGGCAGTTTTATTTAATATCCTGGAGGACTGACAGTTAACAACAGCGGGTAGATAACTGTAGCTACTCATGCCTAATATATTCATAAAAGATTAAGAGGGTGAACAATTAAATATAAACATTATGTGATCAGTCACGTTTATACTATCCAATCATAAAGTAGCAGCAATTAGCATAACCGAGTCTGTGACCACAGAACTACAGGTCCTGCATCTATTTATGTTTTTCTACAAAAAGAGCATATTTATTCCTCCTTTATAAAACTTGAATACTGTGTATTTAATATAAGTAGAATTGGTATGGACAATTGGCATGAAATATAATTTTGCAGTCTCAGAAACATGGAGAGGGCAATAAAATGTGTTCTGATTTGTGTAATTTGTCTAACAATCTAGTTTTCAGAATGGCCATTATCCTAGTATCCCAACTTATTCAGAAAATGATAGCTGTGCGCATAGAATAGCACTGATGCACGTATGTCTTTCCTTATTCTGTGATTACAGAAACACAAAAGAACTCATGTTACAGTTGAATTTAAAGCAGCTAAAACCATGAATACAGATCCCACCAGCTTTCAGGACCTGTTTGATTTCTGAGCATTGTGTTCGGGCCTCATCCTGTCTGAATGTGAACCCACCACGGTACCACAACTCTTGTTCCTATGGTAAAGCTGTAATTGACTCAGCAGATAATCTCTCTCAGCTCAATTTATAAAGCCAAAACCGAAGCTTCATTTCCCTCCTCCTCCCTTCCACTTTATTTTTCTTGGATTTTTTCGCTTCCTTTCTCCC